AACCCACTATGTAGCCCAGGCTGGCCTCGAACTTGTGGTGATCCTCCTGCCTCAGCCTCCTGAGTGCTGGGAGCACAGGCGTGCGCCCCCAAGCCCTGCAGCGCTGCTCCTCCTAACACGCTACCTTGTTTCCTTATTTGCCATGTTGGCCGCGGCTGCCAGCTCTCCCTGCAGAGGGGAGGGTGGCCGAGCAGGGTCCCCTGTCCCTGGCTCAGGTTCACGAGTGAGCACGTGTGGGACGAGCAGCTTCCTCCTCTGCCTGCAGACAGCGACAGGCACTGTAAAATGTTCACGGAAGAACAGCGATGCTCTCTTAATCTATTAGCATTTTTTTTCTATTTATAAATGTAAGACCCATTTTCTCCCAGAAAGACATATCGATGGGAACACCCGACTCTCCATTTCCTGGCCCTACCCGGAGAATTCCCAATGTCTGATTCCGTCCGCTCTGCCACTCTGTCCAGTCTCACCCAGTCCTATTTGCCCCTCCTACTTCTTCCAAACGTGGTGAAAATTGTCCCATTTTCTGAAAGCTTAGCTTAATACATTTGGCCATTAACAGAAATCTCTTTGAAAAATTTCCCATGTATGACGCAGATGCCTCGATATCAACAATGGCAAGGACTTTTTCCTTCTTTCTGAAAATGCCATTTGGATATTTTTGAGTAAGAATCCTGTGAAACAGAAAACCAAGAAATCTCAACGCAACTTCTCAAACATATTAAAGATCATTTCAAATTGTCCAAGGAACAATAGCCTCACAGATATCAAGAATTTTGGGTGTCGCATACCTGCAGCCCCAGCAGTCTGGGAGGCTGAGGGAGGAGGGAGTTTGAGCCCATAGTGGACAATTTAGTGACTTAGCCAGACTTTGTTTCAATCAATCAATCAATCAATTAATCAATCAAAACAAACAAGAACAAAAATCAATCAATCAATCAATCGATTGGGGATGTGGCTCATTGTAAAGGCCCTGAGTTCAATTCCCAGTACTAGAAAAAAGGATATACTCCCCATTTTTAATAATTAAATATTACTGTAGAAAAATTTCTGAAAAAGTAAAAACAGGATAATCATTCACATTCCTACTACCCAAGAAAATAATGCTAACTTCGGGGAATTCTTTTCTATTTGGGTGCTAAGTATACAAATGTGGAAATAAATAAATAAATATATTAAGTATACAAATGTGGAAATAAATAAATATATTAAGTATACAAATGTGAAAATAAATAAATATTTAATATGTACCCAGTTTTTCTTATAATCTGAATTTTCTCAAACATTTAATATTCTTTTAAAACATCATGTTTAATGATGGCGTAAATCTGTCTCAATCAATACACCATAGTTTATTTTTTATTTTACACCGTAGTTTATTTAATCATTCTTCTAGTGTGGGGAGTTTGTGTTATTTCCAGCTCCTTACAATCACAGCAAGTGTCTCAGCACAGAGCTTGGAGCTCTGATTATTCCTTTAGGTTCTACTCACAGGAGGGGCGTTGCAATACCAAGGATATGGAATTTGTAGAATTTGATATGTAGCGTCAGTCTGAACATAGCTTTAGGAGCAGTGACCTTTATTAGTTTTCAATCTTTTAGGGTATTTGGTGGTGAAAAGGACATCTTGCTTTGGTTTAATTTAGGGTTTCAATTATTAGCAGAGTCATACATTATTAATTAACCATTTATAGTTTTTCTTGGGTAAAGAAATTATCTACGCTCTTTATACACTTTCTATTAAGGGGTTAGTTTGGATTTTATTATAGTTTATTTTTATGCACTTACATATATATTAAACTTTCATCATTCATATAACAAATATTTTCTCATTTTCTAATTTGCCTTTTAATTTTGTTTATTCATTTTTGAAATTCAACATTTTATGGGGCCAAATTTAATCAGTGTTTCAATCTGTTGCTTCTTTCCTCAAGTTTTATGCCTGGAAAATCTTTTCTCCCCTCAGTAGATAGTCAGCATTATAAATATATTTTTTAAATACTGGGAATGGAACCCAGGTACTCTGCCTTTGAGGAGCAGCCCCGGGCCTTTCTGTTGTTTTCATTTTTTTGTAGCCATGGGGATTGAGCCCCAGGGCCTTTGCACTGAGCTGCATCCCTAGCCCTCTTTATTTTTATTTTTTTTATTTTGTGACAGGGTCGCACTAAGTTGCTAAATTGCCCAGGCTGGGCTCAAACTTGCCCTCTTCCTGCCTCTTACTCTAAATTCTCTTGCTCATTTGGCACTTCTTTTCTTTTGACATAAGTAAGGAGGATTTTTCCCCAAAGAGTCATTTTCTTGTTGTTTTTGAGACCGGTTCTCACTACGCAGTATGTAACCAAGGCTGACTTCAGACTTTCAATCCTCTTGCCTCAGCCTCTTGAGTGCTAGCATTACATGTTTGCACCACCACACTCAGCTCACCTCTAAAATTGATACAGTATTTGTCTTCTGGGAGGCCAGGTCTGGAGGATTGAAAGTTCAACCCAGCCTGTGTAACTTAGCAAGATTCTGTCTTTAAATGAAAAGCAGAAAAAGGGACTGGGGGGGGGGGAGCTCAGTGTGAAGACTCTGAGGCCGATCTCTAGAACCATCAAAAAGAAAAAAAGAACTGTCTCACACCTCATCACTTCTTTCATTGATTTGTGATTTTTACAAACAAATATAGTTTCCTAATATCTTATATGTTCTAGGGCCCATTTTAGATCAATATCTTATGTTCAATTGATCTACTTAGTTATTCTCATCATAACCACATTATTTTACTGTGTCTTTAAATTGATTTTATTATCTGGTAAGACAAATCCTCCTTCACTATTCTGTCAAAATTTCCTAACTGTTCTCCACTGTCTATTATTTCAGATAAATGTTAAAATAGTGCTGATTTGTTGTTTGTTTTGAGACGGGGTCTTGCAGTGTAGCCCAGGCTGGCCTTGAACTCACTGTGTAGCCCAGGCTGGCCTCGAACCTGTGCAGATTCTCCTGCCTCAGCCCCTGTAGTGCTGGGGTAAGGGTGTGTGCCACCACACCCAGTTCCAAATAAGGCTGGATTTTAAGTATATGAATTGTATTTGAATATCCTAAGTCTACAAAGTAGTGGACATAGCATGTTCTCAAATGAGTTTTCCTTGTTCTTTTCTCAGGTGTGTTGCTACCTCTAAGTCCACAGGAGAAGGGCCCCAAGTCTCTCCCAGATGGCAGAGGGGACGAGGAGAAGCAGGGAGCCACTCTGGGGAGACCTGTTGAGTATTAGGAATCCCTGGTCAGAACAGTTAGAAAAGGGGGAAATTGGTAGATGCCCTAAAACCTCCTGAAGAGTTAAGCGGGCGATTGTGGAACTAGGAGTTGCACACACGCACACGCTTGTCAGGAGCAGTGTGGCGACCACGCACACTGCACCCCCGAGGGGGCCGGCAGCGGAGCGCTCTCCTAGTCCCGGCGCCTGTGCCTGCTCTGCCGGCCGCTGTGTCACCGTCACCGCCACAGGAAGGCAGCCGCGACTCGCTCGGCCGCGTCAGGATCCGACGGGGGCGTCTGTAGCCAGGTGGGTGAGGAGGCGGTGCAGCTCTATTCCACAGGAGGTGCACTGACTCAGCTTCCTCGGAAACCTAAGAGGAATAAAGAGAGAGGAATACCTTCTTTCCAGGGATTTTAAGAATCTAGGCTTATAAAGACAATTCCGTGATGGTGTGAACGAAGCATAAATCTCACGTTCTGTATCCACGCCCACAGTCACGGTCTCGAGGGGCACGCGGCAGGGTGACTCAGGATCCAGTCCTTCTGGGGTCCTCTGCGTCCTTCCGGCAGATGGGAAAAGGAAAGGGGGTTACGTGGAGGCTGGAACCGGCCAAGACCGGAGAGGATGCTTCCACGGCCGCCCACGAGGAGCTGCCCAGGAGCCTGGAAGGCAGGGCCTCAGGTGCACGCAGGGGCGCAGGTGCTGGCCAGGGATTTGTCCGTTGACTCATCCCTGAGTGTTTACTGAACAGCTGTTTTGTGCAGCTAAGACCACAGCAGTCCCGGACTGCAGGGATCTGCCTCTGGAGAGGGTCGCCCGCGCGGATGAGTAGAACTGGCGGCTCAGTGTGAGGGCCGATCAGGGTAGGGTGTGTGAAGCCTCATGAGCTTTGCAGCCGTGTGTCGAGCACATAGTAGGTCTTCAACATCGGTTGCTATTACTGTGAAGGCACAGAATTCACATAATATGTGCTCTCCCGCCACAGCTCCAGAGAGCAGATTTGTATGCTCTTCTTTCCATTGCTTACAAATTAAATAGCTTGATTTTCCACCAAACTAGCATTCATCTAAATATTTAAAATGTTCATTCATCAATGTAAGTAGTTTACAGTTTTTATTATGGTTCATTTGTATTTTTAAGACTGATGGGAAAAAAGCGTTCATTTGTGAGCCTAGACGCTAATGTCAGTATAATCAGTGATGGTGAAAGGAAGCTCAGAGGTTTGCTCATTGAAATTTAGAATTTGAGGTACAAAGATCTAGGCATGCCTTGTAGTGCTCATATAGGCCACTAGATGGCAGCGTCTCACAGGGATGTGGTGGACTCTGGGGCCCTTAAAGGGTCTATGTGCTCTTGGACTTCAAGTCCAAACTGCAGAACTAGAGAGAGATGGAAGGAGCAGTATAAAAATATCCCTTTTTGGTTCTTAATCTTGTGAAAAGAAATATCTTTACACTCTGAAAATGTCCTCTTGTGACATTTTATATCCATTTTTTATACCTAGAGGCCAACAGAAATAATGCAGTTATTATATTTTGTGAACACTGAACATACACACCCGAGACTAGTAAGATTTTCTGAGTCATTTTCTGAGTGCTCTTTGAGCTGGGCTTCTATTCTCAGCTTTTCATACACATTTGGGAGCTGACTTGATTGAGCATGCTGATATAAATTCTCACTTTTTTCCTGGCGAAAAAAAATTGAATGAGACGTTCATTCAGAGACGTCAGAAACAATGAAAGCGAATGGGCATTTCTGGCAGTTTTTATCCTAAGGTGATCATAAGGCTGTTCAGCCTAGAACAGAAGCCAGGCAATGTTTTGTGGGTTGTTTAGTTTTAACTTGTATCTATGTGGTGTTTTCAGGGAAACAAATATTCAATGGCGATTAAAGAGGCATATATGGAGATGATGCCTTAAAAGAAAACTTCGTTATTAATAATACTGATCACAGAAGCTACCACACACTGAGATGTTCTCAGGACTTTGGAGTTATTACTACATCTAATCCTCACTCCAGCCAGGTATAAAGGGTTCTGTTGTTATTGCTCATGCAGGTGGGGAAATCCAGGCAAAGAGGTGTTAAGTAACTTGTACAAAGTGACAGAGCTAGTAAATAGTAGATGTAGGATTTGAAGTATATCTCTCTGACCCCAAAGCCAATTTTTGAATAATGCTTATTTTAAAAATGTCATATTGTATTTCTTTCTTAAATTCTAGGATTTGGGCCAGGGATGTAGCTCAGTGGCACTCCACCTGCCTGACAAGCTCAAGGTCCTGAGTTCAATCCCTGGTACTGCAAAAAAAAAAAAAAAAAAAGAAAGAAAGAAAGAAAGAAAGAAAGAAAAGGGTATTGACTCTTTTCCTGACACTTAAATTCTAGGATTTGACCATAT